AAAGATCTCCATTGTATTCTGAAGAAATCCAAGTTCTTGTGCTCAGCCACACACCTTCTTTAACCGCTTCAGACAAAGCAATGTACTCAGCTTCAGTAGTTGAGAGTGCCACTACCTTCTGAAGCGAGGACCTCCAACTCATTGGGATGCCTCCTGCTGTGAATATCATCCCAGTAGTGGAATTCCTGTGATCTAAGTCACAACCGTAGTTAGAATCACATTATCCTCGAACCATGAAGTCACCTTTCTTCTTGAAACACAATTTAGTATCAGTTGTGCCTTTAATATACCGAAGCACCCATTTTATAGCTTTCCAATGTTCCTTCAAAGGTTTAGACATAAACCGACTGATAACACCAACAGAATATACTAAGTCTGGACGTGTCCCCACCATAGAGTACATGATACTTCCTACAGCATTCTGGTATGGTATCTTCTTCATGTACTCCTTCTACTCTCTCAATTCTTTCTCAGTAGCAGCCTTAAGAACGAAGTGCGCTCCCAACGGTGTTGATACTTCCTTTGCCTGATCCATCTCATAGTTTCCCAAAACTTTCTAGAGATAGTCTTCTTGAGAAACAAATAGCTCTCGTTTATCTCTGTTCCTTGTTATTTCCATACCAAGTATCTTCTTAGCATCTCCCAAATCCTTCATGTCAAATTCTGAGTTCAAGACTGCTTTAAGCTTCTGGAATTCAGTCTTCTCTGTTGATGCTATTAAGATATCGTCTACGTATAGCAACATGTATACATATATTCCTTTTGTGTTCTTCCTGAAATACACGCATGAGTCATAATCACTTCTGGTGTAGCCTTTTGATCTCACAAAGTCATCAAATCTTTTGTTCCACTATCTCGGACTTTGTTTCAACCCGTACAAAGATCTTTTGAGTTTACAGACCTTGTTAGGATATCTTTTGTCTACAAATCCCTCTGGTTTCTCCATGACAATGAACTCCTCCAAGTTTCAGTGAAGAGAGGCTGTCTTCACGTCCATCTTCTGCAACTCCATATCAAAGTGAGCTACTGCAGACAAGACGTATCTGATTGAGACATGTTTGACTACTGGAGCGAAGATCTCCTGAAAGTCTATGCCTTCCTTCTATGTGTGTCATTTTGCTACGAGACGTCCCTTATATCTGGGAGTATCTACTCCAGCTATGCCGGCTTTCCTCTTGAATAACCACCTACAACCAATTGCCTTCTGGTTCTTAGGCCTCTCAATGAGATCCCATGTGTCGTTTCCTTCCAGTGAAGTCATCTTTTCTTGAGCTGCCTCCATCCATTTATCGCTGTCTGGACCAGCCATTTCTTCTTTCCAAGAACCAGGTTCAGTAGCCGTGTCCTCAGATAACAAACATACGTAGCAAGCAAACTGATCTTCTTCATCAGCGATGTCACACTCATATTCTTTCAATCGAGGTGGAGGATTTATAGATCTTCTAGTTCTGTCTCTTGCCAACTGATAATCTCCAAGGTCTTGCTCTGCTGCTTCTGTAACCTTTGTCGTTTCTGTATCTTCTTCTAGAGTACCTTTCTCTGAAGCTTCTTTTTTCACTGTGTCTTGAACCTCTGTGTCAGATAGATCCAGGATATTGAAGTCAATGCGACTTGTAGACACTTCCGAATCATCATCTTTATTCTATGTGACTTTGAGATCTTTGTAGACTTGTTCCTCTCTAAACACCACATTCCTACTAATTACCATCTTCTTGTCATCTAATACCTAAATCTTGTATCCCTTTACTCCTTCTGGATATCCAGTGAAGATATCCTTTTTAGCTCGTGGTAATAACTTGCCTTCGGTGGAGTGGACATAGGCTATACACCCAAACCTTTTGAGATTGCTGAGGTCTGGCATGTGAGAATTCCACATTTCTTCTGGAACTTTGAACTCTAGAGCTGCAGAAGGTGATCTATTAATGAGGTAAGCCGCTGTAGCTGCTGCCTCTGCCCAAAATCGCAGCTCTAACCCACTCTCTGCAAGCATACTACAAACTTTGTTTATTATGGTTCTGTTTAACCTCTCTGCTATGCAGTTCTGTTGAGGTGTGTAGACACACGTCTTGTGCCTTACAATCCCATGCTCCTTGCAGAAAGCGTCAAACTGATGATTGCAGAATTCGAGGCCATTATCAGTTCTCAGTCTCTTAACTTTCCTATCACTCTGATTCTCAACCATAGTCTTTTATGTCACAAAGCTTGAGAACGCTTCATCCTTGTACTTCAGAAAGTACAGACAAACCTTTCTTGAGTAATCGTCAGTGAATGAGATAAAGTAGTGACTTTTTCTGAGACTTGGAGGTACATTTGGTGATCCCAAAATATCTGAGTGCGTGTAGTCAAGTTTTCCTTTGGTGACATGATTTGCTTGAGTAAAACTTATTAGATGAGTCTTCCCTATCACTAAAGCTTCACAGAACTTCAAACCACCCACCTTGCTCTTGCCAAAGCTTCCCATTTTTGATAATACCTCCATACCCTTTTGACCCAAATGACCCAACCTGCTGTGCCAGAGCTGAGTCTCATCCAGTGTCATATCTCCATTTGTGGCAGTACTGGTCTCACCAATGTATGTGGATGCGATCTTAGCTTTTCCTTGCAATATGTAGAGAGACTGTCTTCTGGTGCCTTTCATGAACACGGTACACCCTTTTATGACTTTAAGGGTCCCATTTGCAGCTTTGAATTCACAACCTTTTTCTTCCAAAGTACCCATCGAGATGAGGTTTCTTGAGTATCTCTCTGGAGCCGGGATTGAACCGGCAACTCACTATATCCAACAAAGAACTCACAAGCCGAGCCTTTCGTCAATACAACTTCTCTGATCTCTCTCTCTAACGAATACAAGAAAAGACTGGTTCTAACAAACTCCTAAAACAGGTCAATGATCCTTCTTATACTAACCGTAACACTTGACAACCAAGCCGGTTTAACTACTTAATATGCACAAACCGCATACTAACCTAACCAAGAGAGAGAGAGTGATCCGGTACAACCTAATACAAGTCTAACCGATTACAATCTTAATCTAATTGGACTTAAACCGGAATTACCTTAACCAGATGAAACATTGTTTACAATCTTCATATAATTTAAAATCAGAAAATGCTGAATAGTAAATCTAATGCGGAAGAACTGCATATAGATGGTCTGAATTTTTCCGGTACACCGTACGAAACCTAAAATGTGATAAGTGCCACATAAGTGGATTGTTACGCATTAAAACATAATGAATTATCTCAACATCTTGATTCGTGACGGGATGAGGTAGCTCATTTGGTAAGGACTCTGTGAGCCAATTGTCATGTTCACGGATTCGACGCCAGGCGGAGGGGAACTGCCGAATCTTGTCACCAAATGCGGTACTGGGTGTTGGGCCTTGTACTCAGCCCAGGTAAAACCCTCCCGGGTGAAGTGGACCGATGCCTAACCGGACCCAAGGGATGACCCACGAAGTGAGGAATCCCTAGATTATCATAAAAAAAAAAAAAAAATCTTGATTTTCCTATCAGTTACCTCACTCATTAATTATCCATATTTTATATCTCTTAGTCAAGTTGTTTATGCTTGTCCGTGTTTATACATAGAAGTCTAGAATCTGGAAACAAAGAATCTGTTTCTAAGGAAGTTATTACTATATGAGCTACCGTCCCTGGCTATTACTCGTCACTAAAAACTCTAAGAAAATGCATGTATCGAATGAAATATCCAACTGTCACTTATATTGCAAAACCACTAAGTAACAATAACTTCGTTGAGCCAGTCACTATTTTTGGCGTATATGAAGAAATGTAAAACCTTGTCGGATAGTATAAATTAAGTGAATGTGGACGTATGGAGACAGGAATCATCTTCACTGAGAAGTAGCAGAACCATGTGTTTTTCCCCAGTCACTTTATCGTATCTCAATATATAAAATTTATGTCATTGACTCTCACTAAGTCCATTATTCTCCCATGCACAATCATCGCTAGGACATGTCTACCTAGCTACGATAACGTACTTACACTCGATACACATATCATATATAGGTGTATCTTCGTAAGTTCCTTTATCACTACAACCAGTGCTTTGGTCTAACATGTTTAGATGCCTTATCCAAATTTTTAACAACATTTTTTTTTCTAATAATCATATATATATAAAAGATCACATTTTTTTTTTACTAGTTCAACTGCATTAATAATTATTAAGATAATTAATTATAACAATATTTGTTAATATTATCACCAATATTTTAGCATAATCAATCATAATTTATTAAAATCAATTGCTAATACAAAATCTCACATTTAAACAATAATAGTTTACTTAAATTTTATGTAATTCTTACATATATTTTATTAACTTTTACTTATATTTTATAGGATTTTATTAAAGTTTATATGTAAACACATAATTATATTTTATTTGATAATAATAATAATATTCATAAAAATATTAGTGTTATTTATATAATTTTATAATAAATATGTTACACGGATTGAGAAACAACAAATTAAAAAAAAAAAAATTAGTTGCACTCGTATGAGAGAGTATTAAATTTTGTTCAATGGTTAACAATTTTCAATAAATAATATTTATCTTAAAACCTCTACATATTTTTAAATACTAGTAAATTTTTTTAAAAATATACCTTATTAATTTGGATGTCCTAATCGATGGTTTGAATTGGTTTGAATGGCTTTCCTAAAACCCTGGGTTAATCATCGTATTATGTTTTTACTAGATAGGTCACACAATCTAGGTTTAAGAAATAATTACCCAAACTAGTCGTAACGCGACGTCCATTATATCATATATAATATATATGAAAACTGCGTGAATTGGCACGCATCCCCAAACCCTATATAAATAATGTATACTATTAAGTATGTACAAACATATAGAAGCACCCAACTTCCTAAGCGAAGTGGAAACACAAGATCCCACAAAATCCGTTGATGTTTTGTGACTCACACCCAACCCAAAAAGGTCAATATATTAGATATATAACTATGTCTAACAAGGTCACTGACATGCACTTCAACCAAGAAGAAGATATTGGAGAGATCAGGAGATCATCCTCAAGAACACCGAGAGGGCATTTCGTGGTTTACGTAGGTACGAAGTTGGAAAGATTTGTGGTCCCCACAAGGTTTCTGAAGAGCCCTTCATTTCAGGAGCTTCTAGAAAAGGCTGCGGAGGAGTTCGGTTACGCGGAGGCTTACCCTAATAAGATCGTCTTGCCTTGTGATGTCTCTACTTTCCGAAGTCTCGTTATGTTCCTGACTTCTCATGACAGGTAACACACACACATATATATATATATATCTCATGTGCATGTGTTGTAATTTAAATCTTGTGCTGTACTATCTTAACTTAATTCATCTGCGAGTCTAAGTTCTTTGTTTATCATATGTTGAATATTAGTTAAACGCGCTTTTGATTTCCAGCCAAACACTACGTAAAGCTTAATTACGTATTCTATACGAAGCATAATACTCAAAAACTAAAATCAAATAATGGATGAATTCTAAATATTCTAAGACACTTTCATTACCAATTCGTTTTAGAGACAAAAAAAATCTTAGCAGGTGGAAAATTTGAAATAACCTGAAGGTTTTGGCTTTGCCTAATATACAAATATCTAAACCTAATTGGAGATCTATAAGTAAGGTCATACCAAAATATACAGTAAGGTAATACCTAAATTACGCAATAAAAAAGTAATTAATTTTCAGATATGCTTGTTTCTCAACACCCCTCTGAAGTTGGAATGTGTAGATAAAACATATTGGTGAAGTTATTAATGTTGATGTAATCAAGGAAGCAATCCCAAATCACCCAACTTGAGAAAAGTACATCAAACTCTTTTTCATCTAAATATTCGTCATAAGCAAGTCTGAATAATCACCCCGAAGACATGTAGACATTACATCTGCAAGAATCCGGCCCAAGTCTCTTAAACAATGACAAGCAAGTCAAAAAGGAAGCATCCAAGCATACAAACATTTGTTAACTCTAATCATTTAGGGTGCAATTAATGGATTGTGAATTTTTACCGAATTGGAATAAACTTCAAACGGACATCAAAAGTATTAGCTGCAGTTGGTGGTGGATGAAATTAAAACAACTAAGCAAAATATTTAATAAAAAAAACAACTAAGCAAATAGGAAAAAATCACAGGTTATTCTGTCTGATCTTATTTCTGTTCATATTTACAATGTTTTTTTCTTTTAACTATTTATACAAAATCCTAACTAGATATGTTAATGGGTATGTACAGAATCCCATAAACATAAGTTTATATAACTTATATTTTTTAATATCACGCCTCTCAAATTGAAGCATATAGATTTTGAATGCTCAATTTGGAAAGAATTGCTTGAAAAGATCATCCCTGAAGCGCTTTCATGAAATATTTGTCAATTAGTCTGTTGTGTGTACATGATTCGTACGTAGAATCTCTATTTGTATATCCTATACACTTCTTCCTTCAAGTCTTCCGGAAGGTATACATCCATCTGATGAAGTCCGCAGTCTTTTTCTATAGAAATCTAAAGAACCAATTTAATTTTACTCATTTTAACTACATGAACACACATCTCTTTGTAATCAACTCATTCTTCTTGTCGATTACCACAAGCGATCCATCTGCATTATAGTTTATTGTGAATATTCATTTGCATTCAACTATTTTGTTTGCCATAAGACAAAAGTGCAGTTGCCCATGTTTTATTCTTCTCTTGAGCCCGATCTCTATTCCCATTTTTTTCTCTCACCATCTTCGACATTTCATTGTTTCGGAAAATGTCTTCGGGACCGTATAGAACAACCAGTTTGAGTGGGTTCTTTTATTTTATTACTATCGTGGATGACTTCAATAGCTGTTTGGATTTATCTTTAGTGAAAAGACTCATTAATTAACATCTCAATGAAGCCACACAATTATTTATATAAAGTATTGAATTTAATATAGAATTTTATTTAAATTTAATTGAATGAAATTATTTATTTATGAAAATATAAATCAAGTAGTTCATTAATTTAATTGATTTGATATTGATTGAAATTATTTTGTACTATTTAAACATGCCAAAATAATATGTATATTTCATGAATTATCTGAATGTATTAGTCAGTTATTTTGTTTATTAAATATTTTCTTTGATGAGATCTACTTTTTATATTGCTATGACACAAGATTAATTATTGTATTGTTTCAAAACATAAAAAGTAATAGGATATTGTTCCCATAATTACTTAAAAATAAAAGGTATATTTAATTTAAAATCTTACAAAAAAGTTGGGTCCAAGAGAATATTTATGTTTTAATTTATCTGATGTCAACTTATTTATATAAAGTATTAAATTAAATATGAAAGTTTATTTAAATTTAAATAAATTTAATTTGTTATTTATGAAAATATAAATAAAATTTCCAATTAATTTAATTGATTTGATATTGCTTGAATTATTTTGTAGTATTTAACCCTGTAAAATAATAAGTATATTTCATAAATTATTTGAATTTTTTTGTCAGTTATTCAATTTATAAAATAATTTTTAAAATTGATAAAAATTTATTAAAACGATGAGACGAATTTTTATATTGTTTGGAAATAAAAATAGGAGTAGGATATTGTTTCGATGATTAATTTATAATATAGTGTGTATTTAATATAAAATTATACAAAAAAATTTAGATCTAAAGGAAAGTTTTTGTTTGGGTCGACGATCTACTTTCCCACGAGAAGTATCGTATAGCACTAAATATCCACGGAACTATGATTCCGTTCTATTTACCCTCGAGGATAAAATTTGGAACCTATTTCTCCACTAAATTTAGTTTAGTTATGATTTCTGAAAACCGAATTTTAAATCTCCACTCTCATATAATAAACCGAGAAAAACTAAACCAAGATGATATACTATGGATTTTACCCACTTTCAGCCATGGTATATAAGTGTTTCAGGATACATTTACTACAATATAGAGGCTTCTTAGAGTATTTACAAGTTCAGGTACGTTCTGGATAAATATGGTGGTTTTGGAGTCTTTTAGAGTCTTTTGACTGCAGGACTGCACAGATACGTCATATGTAGCTATGGATAGAAACCTTTCCACCGTTAGATTGATCCCATCTTTTGAAACAAGGTGGATATTTGCGTTAGATTTCCAATGTCACTAGTTTTAGGTCAATCAGCATCCTGTAGCAGAAGTTATGCTCATTTTACTGAAGAATTGTCAGTCTGTCACACGAGAGTAAACTGTCAAGAAGTTAAAGGAAAATAAATCGATGGAGCACACTTTGTATCGATCGATATGGATCCCAGACCGCAGGCAAAATATATTTCAAGACCGACTTAAGCCCAGAAGAAACCCAAATTACCAAGATACCCCGGGACGACCGGAAACCCTATATGTGTTTTGTAAGCCATTATTGACGGATAAGCTTTATTTTATTCTTTTTCTTAGTTTTAGGAGAGAAGGAAGGAACTCCTTCAGAGTCCTTCTGGAACTTCATTGGTTTTGATTTTATATTATTTATGCTTTTCATCTATTCATCTATGATTTCTGTGACAAACTTCATGTCTGAATAGATCCACATGTTAGGTTTAAGATTCAGATAGGTTATGAAGGATTAGCCGCAAATATAGAACTACTAAGTTGTAATATTCATCATAGGATTTTTCTAACTGCTTGTGGCCTAGAGTCATGAACTAGAAACCTGATCTTAGAATCATTACGCGCAATTGCTAACGTTTGGTCTTTTCTCTGAACTGAATTCTATGAGTTAGGATTGCTAGGTGCATATGAAAGTTGATTTAGGAACCCTAGTGAACACATATTTAACTCGATCGTAAAGCTTGCTAGAAGCAATATCGATCGATAATCCAATAGATCAATTGATCGATATTGTGAAAGGTGTATCGATCGATATTCCTATAGAATAATCGATCGACACTTTCTTGTGATCAATAAACGAAAGTTGATATCCAAGATCTAGATATTAGACTGTCTATACAACGAAAGTTGTTAGCTTTGTATTCCTAGTTGAGTTCTAATATATCTAGCAGCTTAGTAACCTATATCATTATAATCCTGATTTTCTGAATAGAAACCCTAGATCTATCAAGCCATCCTTCCATCAAACAACTCTCTGCCAAGCTGAACAATTGTTTTGTTCATCTTGTTTACTGTTTTATCTATTTACTTGCTATATTTACTGCTTTATAAACTATTAACCTAGCTTAATCATAAACTGTTTAGATCGATTGTGTGTCCTAGCTCCTTGTGGATTTGATCCCTAAGTACTACAACTGAACCTCTTATTTGAGAGAATAATTCACTGCTTAGGATAATTCGAGTAATATCACAAGACAAAATTAAAAACCCGACCAAACCTTGATCTGAATCAGAACAATAACCCGACCCAATATTCGAATTAAAAAACGATCCGACTAATTGGATCTTAATCCGGTTAGTCATTAGCTTAACATGCTTTACAAACAGTAAACCAATAAAAATCAATTTTGTGGGTTTTTAGATTTTGATCTTAATAATCGTGGGGAAATATCGATATAAATTTAATTTCGTGGAAAAATAGGTTTCGAACTTTATTCTTAGGCGTAAATAGAACATGGTCATAGTTCCGTGGACATTTGGTGTTATACAATACTTTTCGTGGGAAAATAGATCTTCAACCTTTTCTGTTTTAATAAAAGAAATAAAAATCCATAATTAAATATGATAACGGGTATCCATAGAAGCAAATAAACGTAAATGCATAATTTATATCTCCTAATAGAAAATTTGCCAGATAACATGCAACAAACACGATAAAATACAAAGAGAGAAAGAGGGAATCAGTTATTATTATTCTTATTCCATAGAAAACAATACATATAGACAATAGAATACAAGCTAGGGTTTAGACCAAATTAGAACATGGACTTATGGGTCTAATAGACATCTACATAATAGTTCATAACATTTATGGTTTTATGTTCTTAAACTGAGCATATAATTTTATAATTTTTGTGATCACTATTCTAACGAATCAATGCATCTATATTATCAAAACTGAAATACATTTTGGTACCGTTTGGAAACATAGATAACAATATAAACTAGGTGACCGGCCCGCACTCTGTGCGGGCATAAGTATGCTTAAAAAATTATTATAATAGTGTATCGGTTTAGAAGTAACGGACTGTATATCATCATACTACCATGTTTTGGAGAAACCCTACACCATGGAGAAAAGCCGGTACTCAATATTTGACATTGTATGAGAGGGTATAAAATAACGCACATGATGCGAGCAGTTATTGTGTGTATGTATAATTGCAAAGTCTCAAAATAATTAGTGTGTTTTACGAAAATATTTTCATTCGTCATCTAATGGATTTGCTAAGACTTCTTATAAATAGTGTACAGTTTTAGGAGTAACAGATTTTATATTATCCTTTGTAATTAGAATTGTATTGTATATATGTTGTAACTAAACTATTTTTAGGTGAATAATAGTATTATGTTTAATTTTCATAATTATTTCTGTACACATATTAAAAGAAAATATAATAAATTTCAAAATAAGCTCCCAAAATAAAATTAAAATTATTATCCATAAATAATATAAATTTATGAAGTACAAAATCTCGATAAAGGCGTAGCAAATCCATTAGACACCTGCAAAAAAATATTTTAGTTTGTAAGCCCTAAGACCGGATAACATTCTGTGATAGATATAAAATAATTTCTGAATTTTATTGTATCTATAAATAATATTAAATTCCATACCGTCATAGAAATAGGCAGAATGATGGATGGTAATCAAATGAAATCTCTCTGGTACCTCATCAGTACCCATCTTCCAATACTTGTCAAAAAATAATTGTAAAAGTTTATATATCAATAAGAAAATTATTTGAAAAAGTATACTAAAATCACGTACCTTGACTACGAAATATTCTGGAAAACTTGTTTGTAGACAACATTCAATTTTTTGGTCTGCTGCTTCGATTATTTACCAGTTATTAGGATTTTTAATCCCGATCTCGACTTAACTCTTGAAAGTGCTACGTTAAGCTGGCCATGAGAGAATACTGACCTAGGCAGGAACAAACCAACACTTTCCAGTGTTTGACCTTGACTTTTGTTGATGGTCATCGCGAATGCCAATGTAACAGGAAACTGTCTCCGACGCATTCTGAAGGGAAACTTTGTGTCAGGTGGTGTGACAAACATTCTAGAGATCCAAACCTTGTCACCCGCAATATTGTTTCCGGTTATAATTCTACCTTCTATCACATGGGGCAGTAACTGAGTAACAATTAGCCTAGTACCATTACATAAGCCATCAGCAACATCAATGTTACGGAGACACATAATAGGAGCACCCACCTTGAGCTTCAAACAATGTCTAGGCAGTCCAACCACTTTAACACTGTTCAAAAACTCTACAGGATATACTACAGTTTCTTCTATGTCAACATCGGATGGGATAATACTGTCTGAGCTAAGGTAAACCTTCTCTTCACCTGAAATTATATGTAAATCCTTTTCTTTAGTGACCTCTTATTGCTAGTGAAACATAAGAGTAAATGATTCAACATGTTACCTGGCAACTGCGAAAGCATGTAATCATTTATTTTATCCACTTCATCATTAGTGGGAGTAAGAATGGCTCGATGTCTATATAAATCCTTATCTGTTGAGGTTTGAAAAGCTTGTCCATAAACCTCTTTTGCCATAGTATCAATAGGATCTTCTCCATTATTTTTAACCAGCAAATCAGAAGGGATGTCAATCTCAACTTGACCGTCATTAGGCAAATTTATTTTTCCATCTCCAATATTTAAAAATCCAGTTTGAGAAGGATTGAAGCTCTTTTGCTGCATCATCAGTAAGACCAGCGAGCAATCTCATGTTTTTTGTTAGCTTCAAAACTTTGCAGTGCTCCCAAAGTTTGACTAATAGATTAACTTTAATAAATGTGATTTTAAATATGTTTGATTAATAGATTAGGTTTGAATATGTTTGATTAATAGATTAACTTTTTTAGGTTTGAATATGTTTGATTAATAGATTAACTTTAATAAATGTGATTTTGAGGTGAAAATATAATCTACCCTCTTGAAATAGGCATATGAGACAGATTATTAAAAGCTTGTTCTTACCCATTTATTTCTTCTCATAATAAAATAAAAACGATATTAGACTACTTTTATCTACTATTGAATTTTGCAACCAACTATCTTCCTATTTGAAAATCTCTACACTCTGATTCTCTGGAGCTAATTAATATTCATGATTTATTTGCGCTTTATTATAACTTTCCACATTTTCGAAGTCCAATCATCCACGGAAAACACTTTAAACATCGGTTTTCCGAAGAAATTTAAAATCATGAATAATGCACTTCACCTAACATGGTTTAGTGAAGAAAAAAAGAAGTTTATAAAATATAACAAAAATCCAAAACAGAAAGATTCTTTAACCAAAATTAAGAAATGAGAATAAAAGTACTCTCAGCGACAAAGCCATAACAATAATAAGAAAAACAAGTATTTTAAAATATTCCACGGATCACTCGCCCTTGATTTTCTTCTGGGATGGTTTCTTGCTGACGGAGTGTTGATCCTCAAGGCTTGTGTCATGATCTTTTTGGCTTTTTCTTATAGACAAAGGAGTTACTGAAAACTCACCAGAACCAAAGGAAATAACATCCGAGTTCTGCAACATTAGGACCAAAGTCATAAATCTATGCAGTTAAACCCTCATGATAATCATTTAGTATTTAGCTTCTGTGGCAATGAAATCATTTTTTTTAATACCTCTGGTTTAGGAGGTAAAGCAGCAAATTCCTCCATCATTTCACGGTCTTCAGTAGCCAATCGAACGACATACTGAGAGCTCTTTCCCTTGATGTTGTCAGCATCAACTGATATCTCAAAAAGGAATCGCTTGCCACAAAGGTCGGTAACCGCTTCAGGTAAGACGTCGGGATCTTCATTCTACGATCATATATACTCGGTTACAGTAAAGATAACTATACAATCACATAATGTCGACTGATATTAATATTAATGAATCAAAACTACCTCATCATAGAGTTCAGCGGCAGGATGACGCACAATAAGTTGAGCATTGGCGTCAAACAAAAGAAACTTTGCCTCACCTGAATCGTCCTTAACATTTGCAATTAATTTGAACCTGAAAACAAACATCAAAATAAACATGATACCTAAGCTTTATATGCCACAGAGTGAACCCTAGCTCTAAAAGCACATTCAGTAACTCAGCAACAATCATTTATGAATACATTACCTTGAAATGACCTCAATGTGTTCCTTATCGCATGTAGTGCAGAAGAACAAGGGACGGCTAAGCGCATCAACATTGGTTGTTGGCATGACTTTTTTGTTATGATATTTGCAGCTTAGATATTTCCACCCACGATCAGCATCTATGCTTTCAATTGTGACAAGAGTGACAAAAGTACCAACCTAAAAATATGCGTCAAGTTATTATTTTTCTAACTATTAAATGCACAAATAATGATTCGCAGCCTTGTTTAGTAAATATACCAGATCAGTATCGATGATCTCCCTTATGGTTAGCCTCTCATTAGTCACAAAAAACCTAGCACAAACAGATGTAGCACTACCAACGGACCATTGGCTACTATCGTTGTTTGTAAGAGCAAGTGAATCATTGGGGAGACTGCACAGTAAAACAATGTGATAAGACCTCTGGTTTCTCGTAAAAAGGTAAGATGAAAATACAATGAGACATACCTAGCTTTAAAATTTGCAATTAAATCCAATGTTGGGTTGAGCAAAATATGAGTTGAATTGTACCCGCTAGATATGAAGTAAGCACATGCGGTAGCACAAAGCTTATGAAGATGTTATGAGATAGGTCATTTAAGAAAATAAGTGTAGGAACTATACCTTTCCACTCTTAAATGGAACAAAACCGGATAAGAGCAATGATCATTGTGGACATGTTTAACATACTGTAATCATATACTTGTTTAGCATAACAGCCCCAAAGAGTACACATCAACTTGACATCACTGCATATAACGCCCAGTAAGGTTAATGGATCTAACAAAAAAAGCTGATCCAATAATTTGAAGGAAAAGGCAAAATATTTAAACTTACTTTTGGTCCCTTAACTCAATCAATAGCCTGAAATTATTCTTTCCTTTTATGACTTTGTTTTCAAGAGATCCGAAGTTAACTACTTGGCCAATAACATCTACATATCAAGTTAAGAAGTAAATATTTGCTGGTTAAAAAATATTGTAAGACAAAGCAATAGTACAAATTGACTCACCAACCAAACGACTGCTATCAAGCTTCCCATCAATAATATCACTGTAATTGACAAGATACTTCTTCGGAACTTCACTTGGGAAGTCATCCGCTGGTCCAACAAAAGTAGTCTGAAAGAATCCAATTTTGTAGGGATGCGTGGTGGTTCGATAATCACCCGTAGCGTCGTACAGTTTAAATAAGTGGATGACCTTGGCATCACCTTCGGTTAGTTTCCCTTCAAATTGTTTTATGAGCACTTCACCGACTTGAGCATGGATTCTTGTCTCCTACACAGTGATGAGAAGAGAGTTAAAGATGTTTGGTGAAATAAATTTAAGAACGATCGAACTAACATCAGGGAATCAAGTAATGAACTTACTTCTTTATCGGCAAACACCATTTCGATGGTGTTTCCGGAATCTCTGTTGTAGTTTTTCCATAAACGCAGAATCCTAACCTCAATACGCCATGTATCTTTACACGGTCTCAATTCCCTGATGAAAGACACTCGATTTTTGGTAGCTTTAACCATTGCCATAGATGTTTTTAAGACTTGCGTTCGGTCTACAGACATTAGGACATCGTATATATTGTCAATCTTTCCTAATGGTATGAGATTGACATATTTGGCATTTAATTTCCAACTTCTTACGCAAGATATCGAATATAATGTAAGGAAAGTAAATAACCTAACAAAATTTTAGAGATACGATTCTCATACCATTTGCACGCCAAACAAAAAATAAATAAAAAAGAAAACTAAAATAAATCAACCAATCAGATTAAAAGAATTATTCTAAGAAGGCATGTATGAGTGCCACGTGTCAAAGTGACTTCTCTTTTAATATATAGGGGGATGAGAAATGTTTGGAACTATAAATAGCAGATTAAGTATGTTCTTTTATTTACACATTTAGCCATTGCATTAACAATAAATTAAATACTTATTTTTGTATTTTTTTTTATTTAAAGATTCTGCCACTACATTTAAAATCAATCTAAATTAATTAATTGTTTTTTCTTTGTGGTGAAAATAAAAACACAAACTGAAATATATAATATATATTATATAAAACAACGTTTTTAAAAGTATTACCTTATTTAGTTTTGTCAAATATATATTTTTCGATAGTTCAATTTTCAGGAAAACATGATATCCTAAAATTAATAATAATTCACGTAAACTAATGCAAAAAAATAATTTTTTTCAGTATGTTATTTCGCTTTAAAATAAATTAACAATAAAAAACAACATGTTAATATATGAATAGTACAATTACATCAAACTGCATCAAGTTATCAATTTTTAATATAATATTATGTACAAATAAAAATTATTATCAAACGTCTATATTATAAAATAATATATTCTACTCTCTATGTAAATTACAAACATAAAATATATATAAGATAATTTTTTATAAAACCAACGGTTTATTGGTTTACGTTGAACACAAGTTAAATCAAACATCTAGGCGGATCAAGTTCTAATCTATATTATTAAAACTTAAGTACCTTTTGGTACTATTTGGAAACATCAATACAATATAAATTAGAACTTCTTTGAAACGTAGATATAAGTTTTTTTAGTATTTATTTTTATTTACACATTTAGCTATTGTATTCTTAGCACTATTTTAGTACAATAAACATTGTGTTTTTCTGCACCATGTGCAGGATAATTTTTTTTATCAAAAATATATTTTAAAAATAAAATTCCGTTAATATTATAGACTTTGTTATTTTTATATCAATATTTTAACATAAATCTTTATTTAATTAAATAGATAATTCAGAAATGAGAAATTGCCTAGACTACCACTTTCTTATTTTTTCATTTTACCTTAATCACATTTTGCCCGTAGTTGTAAATAATTAAATAGACACTTATAACTCTAGAGTTAACTAATCTAGCCTTAGATAATAGATTTGAAGAGTGAAGTTTTGTAGGATAAGGTCTAGATTTTTTTAAAAAAATATAAATCTTGTTAATTCTCATATGGTCTATACAATATTGTATATGACCAATTTAGAGAAAAAAAGAAAATTGATTTAAATGTATTGAACAAATATTTTAGTTAACGGTATATTGTATATACGATATTTAATTACAAATCCAAAAATATTTATATTACTTCGTCTACAAGTTTTATTTAATATCACAATTAGTTATTATTTTCCTTATTCTTACAGAGTTATTGCTAACCTACTTTAATTGGATTAGCATTAACTCTTAGATTTTTTTTTTAAATATTCTAATTTTAATATACACGTATAATATTCCTTATTCCACAAAGTTATATATTTTATCAAATCTTTAAAATATTCTGACCTACATTTTTGTAACCTAAATCCGCTATGTCACCTACCTATTATAAATATACGATCAGTTAACCACGATATTTGTCAGACCTACATATATAGAAAAAAATGGCAAACAATATGTAGCTAACTTTCTTGAACGATATCAAACCGCACAAGACGGCATGTCACATCCAAGTGACGATCATTGATACATGGAGACATTTCATGAAAGATGTTAAAAAATCTATGGAACTAATCCTATGTTATGCTAATGTAAGTTTAATATCGTATATATATATTTTTGTTTTTTATATATTGATTTTGTTAACATACACGCTAAATGATATAATTATTTTTATCTTTTTAAAGGGAACCAAAATCCATACCTCGTTGTTGGTGTCAAAATCGGTCACAACGGAATCAATGGCTGAAAGTCTCCGCAAAAATATAAATATACGTTTTCTAAAACTCGAGAAGTCGTTTTGTAAAATTCTAAGAAGTTTCCAAACAAAGGAAATCTGCGGAAAACTTGGAAATCGTTATCTCGGAAGAACGAAACAAACGCCGATTACACGATCGCCCGAGTTAAGCACAAAACCGTGAAAAATCGCCTCCGCCGTAAATCGCGAGCTGGTTCAGCCGAACTAGCTTGCCGTACGGCGAGCTAGGTGGCATCGAGCTAGCTCGCTGTACGGCGAGCTAGTCACTTCACGACTAGCTGGTTCAGCTCGCCGTACGGCGAGCTAGTCACGTCACGGATAACTCGACGTACGGCGAGCTGAACCGATCCAGTTCGGCTCATCGTTCATCGAGCTGATTGTCCCGAGCCTCGGTCTCCCACGTCCTCGAGTCAAGGCATACGTCCTTCGGCACGATCATGTTCCAAACCATGGTCGAAATGTCTCTCGTTTCGTCTCGATCCGTTCTATCGTTCGAGTTTTACGATAAAAACCGTAAAGTCTTGTTTTCTCGAAACAACTCTGGGAAATTCGTGTAAAATGGCAACGGTTAAAAGAAACATCGAAAATTTCCTAAACTATACGATTTACTCGAGATTTTTCGTGAGAAATCGTAAAAACACGTTTTTAATAAAACCTCGAGTAAATTGTAGAAAACGGCACCGATTAATCGAAACATCGAACATTGCTAAACTTATTTAAAAACGGCATCGCATCAGGGGTTTCAAACAATTAATCATATCCTATAGGTCTAGACACAATCCTAAGCTAATCCTTTGTCAAGGTAAAAGCTCATTTGCTATCAATCTCTAAACATCAAGTTCCCTTTTTCTAAATCAATCAAGCAAGCATTGAGAACAAGTCTAATAACCATGTAAGCATCCGTAGTATCAAGTGTCTTTGGCTAAGCAAGCAAAAAGCATTAATACTTTGGTTCAGAAATTTTCACAAACACCTTGTGGGCAGGAAATGTCTAATGATCTAGAATAGAAGGGTTATCTCTAATCTGGCATTGGGAATAAGTAATAAGCATAGAATAAGAAGGATCTAACACTAATCACCCTATATCATCACTTAATCATCCTAATCACCCTAATCCATAATCTCAAAAAGAGTCTACTCACTAATACTCATGTTTAATCCTAAACCCTTGATGGATAGAAGACTAATCATGATTAGGAGAAGAGATAGACTCAAATTACTCAATAAACAAAGATAGATTAATTAATGATTCAACTTTCCCAAATGTGATTTGCTTAGAGAAAAGAAGATATGATTCCCAAAAAGATTACAAGAGTATTTATATGGTCTTTGGAGACACAAGTGTTTTCCAGCAAAAAGACCAAAAGGGCCTTAGAAAATAAGGCAAATTTCAGGTTGGGCAACGTCAGCTTGGGTTGGTGGTCCAGGTTCCTTCCCGCGCAGCCTTACCCGCGCTAGCTTGGCGTGCTTGGCCGAGCGGGTACACGAGCCCGCGACAGCTTACCCGCGCAAGATGGTTGGAGCTTGGTCTTTTGGAACGCGCGGATGCATCACTCCGGGACAAGCTACCCGCGACAGCTCGTCCTGACTTTGCCCAACTACTTGGTTTGTCCAGATACTTCAGCACCTAATGAGATATATGAATACAATATGGATCCTAAAGATATCTAATCCTGAATTTATATGATGGTTTATGTACCAAATGGAATGCTAAATCTATGCAAATATGCCTCATATCAAACCACTATTAACCCGAGAAGTTGTTTTAGTAAAGAGAAAGCTCTGTTGCGTTTATGTTCCAGTGAAGGAAAGGTCTTTGGAAGTTGTTGGAATTCAAATCAAATTCTGCTAAATTGTGGGAACACAAGGTTTTGAGGTAATGTACCTTTTGATTTTGTTGATTTCTAGTTACAGTTGAGCTACATCAGATGTTATTCTCGAGAACCAGTTGAGCTACATCAAATGCTTATGAAAATTTTTAGTCTCTTTTTGCTTGTACTGGTGAAACTGTTGGTGTTTTTAAAATTTTGGGAAAGATTTGTGTAGTTTCAGGAATGCTTTTCCGAAAATCCAATGTTAGCAAATTTGAAAACCTTTTTGTCTTGGTGTCTTGTTTGGCTTATGCAAGTTGATATCTTTGGTAGGCTCGTGAAAATGCTTATGAAATTGTAAGTCTCTTCTTGCTTGTGCTTCTGAAAATGTGTGATGTTTTTAAAATTCCAGGAAGGATTTGTGTAGTTTCAGGAATGCTTTCCCGAAAATCCAATGTTAGTGAATTTAAAAACCTTTTTGTCTTGGTGTCTTATTCGGCTTATGCATGTTGATATCTTTGGTAGGCTCATGAATATGCTTATGAAATTGTAAGTCTCTTCTTTTTATTTGCATGTGAAACTGTGTGGTGTTTTTAAAATTTTAAGAAGGATTTGTGTAGTTTCAGGAATGCTTTCCCGAAAATCCAATGTTAGTAAATTTGAAAACATTTTTGTCTTGGTGTCTTGTTTAACTTATGCATATTGATATCTTTGGTAGGCTCGTGAATATGC